TGAAGGGGTGCCTTGCCTTTGTCCCGAGGGGGACGCTCCTCGTCTGCCCTCGAAACAGATCCCCCGCTTTCCTGGGGCCTTTGGAGTGTTTTCCCCCCGAGGCGGTCTTGGACCCCTCGGCGGTCCGGCCCTCCTCCGAGCCGGTTGAGGGCGGAAGTACGGGGCCTTTCCCTGTTGTCGTTATGGCGGTCCCGGGACTGAACTTCCTGGGAGGACGTTTCTTGGGCCACCACCCCTTCGTCGTTTCTCACCCGAGGGGTGGGATTTCCGAAGGGGAGTGGCAGTGGGGGAAGTATGATATTTTCCCCGATCTGAGGGTGAGCTGGAGCCAGGGTGCCGAAGGCACCCGGGTTCTGGGTGAGCGTCTGGATGAAGGCGGAGAGCGCCGATTGCACGTCGATGGTGAGAACCGGAGGGATGACTTGGTCATCGCTCCGGTTTTTCTTCTTGGCCTCGATGCCGAGGCGGGCATCGGGGGCATTTTGTTGGATCTGAAGGCGTAGGTCGACAGCCGCCTGTTCCAGCCCAGCGATGACACCGCCCTCGGGAGCCCTGTGAGAGGCTTCGGGGGCGTTGACGTCGCCGAGGGCCAGGTTCTTGTCTTCTACGTTCTTTGAGTTGGCACGTGTTGTCCTCACCATTTTGATATAGGGCTAGTGTTTTGTGTTTGGTCGAGGGGGAGGGTTTCTTACTCGATTGTTCGACCTCTCAACGAGAGCACCAAATGATGGATAGTCTACCCGGGGGTATATATCCGAGGGGTTATTGCGGGGAATAACTTAGAGAGAAGTCAGAGCAAGTAAATATAGAGAGAGAGAGTGTATTATAAATGTGGAGCGTTTTCAGCGTGGTTACAAATGAGGAAATGGGGTGCTATTTATAGTAGCAATAAATGCCGGGCAGGGACACGTGTCAAGCGCTCATTGGCCGAGGGGTCACCTCAACTGGTTGGCGCTGGCAGCCGCATGTGGCCGCATTTAATGCGGCTGTTGGATGGGACGTCTGTGCGGGGCACGATGATCTGTACGCATGTGAGGCGGATATCTTGTCGAGTGAGATGCCTTCGGCTATAGAGCAGTAGCTGAGGGCTCTTCCACCCGATGGCACCCTGGTGCCGAGGGCTCACAGTGCCGAGGGCTACTGTTTTCGCCGTTTTCTCCCAGTTTCTTAATTTGCTTGAGAAACCCGTTCTGTGAGAATTTAGAGCCTTCGGCCGGGGGGGCGAAGGCACCCCTGGCGCGTAGTGCGGGCTGCTTGGTACCCTGGGCGCTGTGATTTGGGCCTGTTGGGCCTTTGCTGGAGTAGTAGGAGTCTGTGGGCCGGGGGTTCCCGGGCCATATACTCCATCACGGAGTATAAGAAAAGTTGTTTTAAAATGATAGTTGCCTAATATTTAACCTATACTCAAATCGATTCGATATTTGTATATGATTGGTTAACTATTCGTATTGTTAAACAAATACACATACAAATTGAAATTAATATTCGTTTCATATTGGAATTCGAATTCGTATTCGAAAAAATTAAACAAATACAAATACAAAATCTCATTATTCGACTCGATTCGGTTCGTTTACAACCCTACGGTGTAAACAAACGTGTAAGTCGATGTGTACAAGTAGCGTTTTTGGTTTTGTTTTCAATCTGTGCGTCGTTGGACTGTTTTCAATTTCAATTTCTTCAAATTTCCTTTTTTGAATGTCCCAAAAAGATTTGTCATTTACATTTAAAGTAAGGAATATGTGGCTAAAATTAATTCTCTCCTCTGCACAAATTTTAATCACACAGTTTTTACTTTATTAATCCACGTGAAAGTCAACTTTGGCTAACCTTTTCGGGACGGAGGGAGTATACATTACAAAAAAAATATGGGATTAGCACGAATTTACTGATAATTTCGTATCAAATAGCTCGTGTCAAACTGTTTTTGGCACGTATTTGGTATATCCCTGTCAAAACTCCTGTCAATTTTAGAAAATTTCTACCAAAAAAACTCTGTCAATCTGGTGTATTTTTGTAGTGATATACGCAATATAATTATTTGATTATTGAGAGGAAAAATTAACATTTAATTTAATTTTATTAAGTAGTATTTCCTCTGCTCTTAAATAAGTCCAACAATTCATTTTTCATGTTTGCCGATGCACACTTTTGACCATTAGTATATACTTCCCTCATTCCATAAAAGTTGCAACATTGGAATTTCTGCACTATTCACACACCTTACTTTGACTACGCTTTTCTAATAATATATATAATAAAAATATTATGTATAAAATATTAATAAATTTGTATTAATGTAAATTTCCAATATATTAACTTTTTTTAATGTTTACTAATATGTAAATAAATATAATTATAGTCAAAGTTGCGCGTTGACAAACGTGAAAGTCAAACTGTTGCAACTTTTATGGAACGAGAGATAGTATAATTTTCTATTAGTAAAAAAACATATTTTGAAAATTTACCACGAGACAAATTTAATAATATCTTTGTCCCACCAACATTGGGACATAAAGTTGTGACACGACTATTAAGAAAAGTGAGTTTATATGCATGATTGATGTTAAATGATGATGGAGTATATGGGTCTGGACCCCAGTATCCACATACTCAGGACAGAAGGTACCACGATCACCTGGTGGGACCCCCGTCGGCCGGATGACCTTCATCGGCCAGAAAGAAGTCTACTCAGAATACGATCCAGAAGCCAGAAGAACCGGGTGACCTCGTCGGCCACGAAAAGCTCCCAGAACAGGATTTCATACTTAGTCAGTTTTGCATATCTTGTATTCGGCCCAATAGCGGTCCAGTTGTAGATGAGCCTCCCAAGTCCAAGACTTGGGTGCCCAGTCCACATTTTCTCTATAAATACTCTCTTTGAGAGTAGTTGTAGGGGTTGACAAATCATTTATTGCAAAAAGTTATTGCGCTTCTCTCTAGCTCTCACTTTTCTCTAGATATATAATCTATCAAATTAATAAAGTAAGAACGATTTAGAAGCACACAATTTTTTCCAAATTTTGTATAAGATAATCTTATTAGCGAGATGAACCGGAAAGAAAAAATTGGACGATCTTAAAGGGATGGAGTGAATATATTTTTATATTTTATTAATACATTAATAAAAAAAGTACAGTCAAAATAAAACACATGAATAATGTAATGTCCCACGATCCGGTCATATTCCCAATAAGTTGGGTGGTGAGGGTTTAAAAACCTAGGTAGCTAGTAGTATGTTTTTTTTATATTGAATAGCAATGTATTAATGTGAATAGTAATAGTATCTCTTCCTCGGTGGACTTTGTCAAGTGCAAAGTAGGTGAGAAATAAGAATAGTAAAAATTATGTGATTGATATTTGTGCAAATGAGAGAGAAATGTGAAGAATCACAAATTAGTTATTTTAATAAGAAAGTGATAAAGTTTTTTGGAACACAATAAAAGGTAAAGTTGACAAAGTTCAATAGAACGGACATAGTAACAAATGGCATGAGTAAAACGTGTTTATTATTTTGACGGCATGTCGAGCTGTAAATCCGATTCACTTTCATGGAATTAGGAAAAAGAGTAATCATTGTTTCATTTTTTTAGCTTTAATGAGGTAAATGTATAGGAAAGCAAAACTAGTCACAGATGACGAAGTATGTACGCTCCATATTCCTCCGCCTCATTTTCCTTAGTCAATCTTGATTTTTCACGTTAATAAATATAATTTAACTTTGACCGATTATATGTTTATATAGAAAAAATATTAATAATATGAAAATGATATGAAAAATGTTCTTTGTTAAAAATATTATCATAAAAGTATAAAATTATTAAATTTTGCATAAATATATTAATTTAAATAATTAGTCAAAGTTTACCATCTTTGACTGAAAAATTCAAAGATGACTAAGTAAATTGAGATGGAGAGAGTATATTATATGGATGATATATAGCCCGCTGCCGAGGGCACTAATTATGATCATGTAACACCAAATTACATCCCAATTAATTAACCCTCGTCTAGTAGCCTAGGGGTGGACTCGGGTCCGGGTCGGGTCCGGGTCGGGCCTAGGCCCGGGCGGGCCGGCGGTTCAGAAATGGTGGACCCGGGACCGGCCCGGGTAACCACCGGGTCCGGTCCGGGTCCGGGCCGGGCCGGGACGGGCCGGGCCCATTATAATTTTGTTTTTGTTTTCCTCTTCCTAATTAACCCCCCTCCCACCCCCAACCCCCCAAACCACCCCAAATGGCCCAAAATACCCAGCCCAACCCGAAAATTTAAAAAAAATTGAAAAAAAAATAGGTTTTGGCCCGAACCGGGCTCGGGTCCGGCCGGGTCGGGCCTTGTTTTGGGTGACCCGAGTCCGGACCGGAAAATCCACGGGCCGGGCCTACCCGGACCGGTCACTGACCAGGCCACCGGGTCGGGCCGGGCCGGAACAGTACTGGTTCCGGGTCGGGCCACCCGGCCCGAGTCCACCCCTAGTCTAGCCTAGCAAGCTAGCTCCAATTAATTCTCGCATATACTCCTTCTTAGTGAAATTGTTTTGCAAAATAAAAAAAAATTGTCAACCAATAATAAAAGTCAATGTTCGTTATTCATAATTAATTCAATTTTTAATAATTAAAATTTATATATTTGGAAATTAAATTAAAATCTCTTCGAAGTTGTAAACTCTAAATTAAAGTATAATTAAAAATTGACATCCTAGAATGAAAAAGTATAACCGTAATAATTCGTATAACTGTAAATGAAAAAGTTAAATTTACAAATGGGAGTGAGTGAGTGTAACGTATGGGCATACGTACGGCAACACTAGCTACATCGTCGCCCTATAAGGTCGTAGTACTTGCTACGAGTACGATGAGTAATGATGAATACTATCCTTCCGCAGCTGCCGCCGCAATATCATAATCACTACTCCCCATCAGCATTGACCTGCCGCCTGCCACCCTTTCTAATAAAATGTTCTTGTAACAAGACGACGACGATGTCGCATGGACGACGTCGAGGGATCGCGGTGGCCGGAAGTAAGAGATCGCCACCGCCGCAGTGGATGGAATACCAAGGCGTGAAGGACTGGGAAGGTTTAATCGACCCCCTGGATGACAACCTTCGGACGCAGATCTTAGGCTACGGCCACTTCGTCGAAGCAGCATATCGCTCCTTCGACTTCGACACCTCATCCCCCACCTACGCCACCTGTCCCTACCCCAAACGTCGTCTTCTGCTCTCCAACATGCGCCGCCCGCCGCGCTATAAAGTCACGAGGAACTTGCATGCCACGTGCGGCGGGGTCCGCATTCCGCGCTGGGTCCCCTCCGCCCCGAGCTCCAGCTGGATTGGCTACGTCGCCGTCTGCGATGACGCGGAGGAGATCGCCCGCGTAGGTCATCGCAACGTCGTCATTGCTTTTCGGGGAACCGCCACCCTGCCGGAGTGGCTGGAGAACCTGCGCATCATGTTGACACCCCTGCCGGATGACATGGCGCCGGCGGCAGCAGACGCTGATCGGGATTCACAGCAGCCGATGGTACAGCGCGGGCTACTGAGCATGTACACATCATCGGGGCACAAATGCGGCGGCCGCCAGAGCTTAAGGGACGCAATCAGGGAAGAAATGCAGTACATTGTGAAAAGGTATGGCGGCGGCGGCGGCGCTATAAGTGTTACAATCACTGGGCACAGCCTTGGCGCCGCTCTGGCCACCTTAGCAGCGTATGATATAAGGACGACGGCAGAGTGGGGGGATGCGCCACCGCCACTAGTGACGGTGGTCTCGTTTGGAGGGCCAAGAGTGGGCAACAAGGAGTTCAGGTCGAGGTTGGAAGCGAGTGGCACCAAAATCTTGAGGATAGTCAACCGGGATGACCCGATCACTAAAGTGCCGGGGTTCGTGCTAGACGAAGACGTGGCGGCGGCTGGCCGTGGAGCAGCTGTGGGGGCTTGGGTACGAAAATGCGTTCACTTTACGGGATATGCTTACGCGGAGGTGGGCAAAGAATTGAGGCTTAGCAGTAATGATCCTCAATTTCAGTTCCTCGGCAGCACCGCAATTAATATGGCTACCTGTCACGACCTCAAGACCTATCTTCACTTGATCAATACTTCTCAAAACTAATACACACAGTAATTACATGCATTATCGCCTTAATTAAGATCATACTCCATATTCATCAATCTAGTCGTGTACTGTTTTGTGTAGGCATTGACACGTCAACAATACTTTTTTATGAAATTTTGGTTTTTTTACTAATTACTTATGTGGGCACATTTGTTTTTAATCTGGTGCCTAGGTAAACCACCAAAATTGGTGGAGTAAATATCGCTGAACATTTATCAAATTTTATTAGGAAAATGAGAAATACAAATAGAGGGGAACTAGACAAAAAGATAATTGGGGAATGACCCAATTAAAATAATACAAACAAAACAAAAAGAGATTGAAATCTAAAGTAAGGTATTTTTTCTATAGAAATCTTGAAAAAGAAATACCATAAGCATCCATAAAATTAAAGTAGCATTTTTTATTACAAAGGGAAGCTGAATAATATCTGAAAAGAAATAAGAAGTTAAATCGTTCATGTTAACTTTTGTCAGGACATGAGCGGACCAATTTCCTTCTTGATACGCGTTAAAATATAAACTAGAATAATATTGAAGATTAAGAGAAGGATTTTCTGTGTATTTTATTAGTTGTGGAAGTTCCTATAAATATACATTACAAATAGATTATTCTTATATAAGATTCTATACAATAATAATATCTATGGTATATTCCTAGTATATTCTAAAGCATATTCTAAAGTATATTCTAATATACTTTCACACTCCCCCTCAAGTTGGAGCATAAATATTTATCATGCCCAACTTGTTACATAAATAACCAACTCGAATTCCATTTAGTGCTTTAGTGAACAAATCTCCAAATTGTTCCCCAGACCCCAGTCTTTACATACCCTGTAGAGATCAATCCTTTTTGTATCTTCTCTCGAATAAAATGACAATCGACCTCAATATGTTTTGTTCTCTCATGAAGGACTAGGTTGTTGGCAATGTGTATAGCAGATTGGTTATCACAACACAGTTTAGGAGGCATTGGTGTCTTCAATCCAATTTCACTCAATAAATGATTTGTCCAGATTATCTCACATGTCGATTGTGCCATAGCACGATATTCTGATTCGGCACTAGATCGAGAAACCACATTCTGCTTCTTACTTTTCCAGGAGACAAGATTGCCACCGACAAAGACGCAATAACCAGATGTAGATCTTCTATCATCTTTAGATCCAGCCCAATCACCATCTGTAAAGCATTCTATTCTCATGTGATCACGATTTTGATAAACAATACCTCGTCCTGGTGTCCCCTTAAAGTAACACAATATATGTTCAACAGCATTCCAATGATCAACTGTGGGAGATCACATATACTGATTCACTACACTCACTGAGTATGCAATATATGGACGGGTAACTACAAGATAATTAAGTTTTCCATCCAATCTTCTATATCTCTCTGGATCTTTGAACGACACACCTTCGTCAGTGAGTTGTACATTAGGAATCATAGGAGTATTGCTCGCCTTTGCCCCTAATTTCTCTGTTTCAGCTAGCAAGTCAAGTACATATTTGCATTGAGATAGAAATATGCCTTTCTTGCTCCGTGTTACCTCAATACCCAAGAAATATTTCAATGAGCCTAGATCTTAAGAGCCAAAATACCTGCAATATCACTCCATGTAATCACAATATCATCGACATACACAACAAGCAATGTGATACCTGCTTTCGTTCGTCTATAGAAGACAGAGTGGTCTGATTGACCTTTTATCATGCCAAATTGTTCAATTGATTGACTGAATTTTCCAAACCATGCACGGGGACTTTGTTTCAAACCATAAAGAGATCGACTTGCGAAGTCGACAAACTTTCCCATACTCCCCCTGAGCAACGAATCCCGAAGGTTGCTCAATATAAACTTCTTCCTGAAGGTCACCATGCAAGAATGCACTTTTAATGTCCAAGTGATGTAAGTGCAGGCCAATCATGAGTTGCAGCGAGAGAAATAAGTAACCTGACAGATGTTAATTTAGCAACAGGAGAAAAAGTGTCAGAATAATCAACACCATAGGTTTGAGCATAACCCTTCGCAACTAATCGAGCTTTCAACCGAGCAACAGATCCGTCTGGGTTAACCTTAACAGCAAAGACCCACTTACATCCTATAGATTTCTTCCCTATAGACAAGTCAACCAAATCCCAAGTACCATCAAGATCTAAAGCATTCATTTCCTCTACCATGGCATGACGCCATTCAGGATGAGACAAAGCTTCTTTAACAGATTTGGGAACAGAAACATAATCAATGGAAGTTGATAGAGTATATAGACTCGGACCCCCGGGTCTCACGACTATTGGACCCGGACAGCGGCCCACATACGCTCAGTAGATAGCATTTATTTCATTGTACACTCTATTTTATTCATGTATACCCGTTAGAATAGATTAAATACCATTTGTTAGCCATTTATTGGCCTTTTATTGTAAATGGGCCTTCCGGGCCCAAGCCTGGGAGCCCAGCCCACTTTTCTCCTATAAATATTAAATACTCCCTAAGGGAGTCATGTAAAGGGTTGGAAATTCATTATATATATCACTTTATCTCTCTAGCTCTCCATTCTCTCTAGGAGTTAATACTCCATCAAATGGTGCTCTCGTTGAGAGCTAGGACAAATCAAGTGAGATCCTCCCAACTAATAAAGCTACATGTGAAGCTAAGGCCAGCATTTCGACCCTAGTGGGGGAAACATGCCACCTCTTCTTGCATGTCATATACTCTCCTCGGCCAAAGGGGAGAACTCCCACCACCCATCGGCCAACAAAAACCAAAACAAAAGGAAAAGCTGCATGGCGTAAAGTTGGTGGGACCCTTAACCCATGACCCTAATTAAAACCCTTAAACCCCTGCAGATGGGGAAGAAAGGCCTCGGTCAGAATAGCTTCAGTCAAACCCAAAAGAACTAAAAGCAACACGACAGTGCATCATCGGCCAGACCACTGAAGTGATTTCCTCGGAACAAAAATGAGAGATGCACCCTTCATCCTAGGAACACCAGCGTCCTCGGCCAAGATAAAAAACGAAACAGATCGGCCCAAATAGGGAAAGGAAGTCCCTAAGTCCCTTCGGCCAAGGAAAGCTAGTCGGCCCCTCGTCTGCAACGACACCCCCTCGGCCAGTCCAATCAAGCTCCACCCGGGCCAAAGGTCACGTAACATTCCTCGTCCAAGTGGGGGAATCCCTGGCTATCACTCGACCAAACCTGGACAGAGAGAACAACACCCCTCGGCCAGTCCAACACCGTCGGCCAACTGCGTCATCGGCCAACAGTGAGTCATCGGCCATCGGGCGGACCCATCGGCTAGAAGATACACAACGGCCAAACAAGAAAACACCTCATCGACCGGCAAATCGTCGGCTGGAACACCATCGGCCTGTACGCCATCGGACAGCAACGCTTCGGCCGGTAGCGCCGTCGGCTGGTAGCGCCGTCGGCCAGAAATTCATCTGCCAGAACTAAACAAGGGGAGTGAAGTTCTGCCACCCTTCGTCCGGCAGCCCGTCATAATGTTCCTCCCTCAGCCGAATGGGGCCCTCTCCCTCGAGCAGGTAGATGACTTCTCTTCGGCCTCAACAGCTCAAACTGTGGTACAACAGTCTTGTCTCAAACAGAGGAGTGGCAGTTCCCTCGGTAAAGGAAAGCTCCTCTCGATGTCTGTCGTCCGTAACGGCTCCGGCCATTAATGGAACAATCGGCCAAACCTGAATAGAGGGTAGGTCATGCTTTTTCGTCCTCGTCCTGGCAACAATGGTGACGCTCCACATCGGCCAAAGTGAACAGAAAGGGGGAAGCAACCAAGCAGCAGCGGTACTCTGCCCATCGGTCAAGCCTTCTACCCCTCGGCCAGCATACTACCGTAGGACTGGGATTCTCTACTCCAATTGCAGGTTCAAGAAGTCTCACCCCTTGGCCGGAATGTCCCTTCGGCCTGGGTGTTACCTTCGGCCAGAATGTTCCCTTCGCCCAGAGTGTTCTCCTTGGCCAGATTGATACAGGGGTTTCCACGGGCCCACTCTCAGCTTTCCCTCGGAAGAAACAACCAGGGCTCCTCAGCACCTCGGCCATGCAACGAGGAAGACAACCCATCGTCCAGAATGGGACCCCCTGTCATCCCGCTGTCCCTGGTTCCCGTCGGCCCCAATTCACGAACCTTTCCGCCAATTTGTGGTCTCTCGGGCAGCCGGCAGAAGGATAATGGCGCACCTTGGCTTGGAAGCAGCCTCGCATCTTGTCTCCGCGACGGCCGGCACAGCGGGGGCGTTGTCATCCAAAATGGACTCCAGCGGCGCAGGGGAATCTCCTCGTAACTCTTCACGCTCCGCTCATTCGAACTGATTTTCTCCCCTGTGGATGAAATTAGCAAGTGGGGGAGGATCTGGACTATCTCAATTGAAGGAATGGGCTGCGGGGGTATGGATTGGCTACTGGGTAAATGGGCCCCTTGATTTTCAAAGAAAAGGCCCAATCAGTGATCTCTACGGCCTGTTGAAATTCTAAGCACCACAGGCTTCGGCCCAAATAAGAGGTAGGTGCCACTAAATTTTCCTCCTATCTTATGCATTAAATATGGAGCCAAATAGTTTTACTACTATTATTATTATCGATACTTTCTAGCCGGTTAAAATCCCCAAAGTGGTGGGCCTGAGCTCTAGTCTACCGAACATCTTTATTTGATGATTCGGATTATATTTAGGTCCATCGACCTACCCTAGTCACCTTTATTGGGTTACTTGGACATCTAAAAATGAGAGCCGCTACCGGCCGCACATGGCATTATGCCCATGAGCGGTAAACGGTACACCTCGTTCTCCGAGACGCTAATCGCGTCGCCCAAAAGCCGTTGCCATGA